ATTGCCGCTACATTATAAGTCAGATAAGTCATTATAAGTCAGATCAATTTCAATTACAATAAATGTGTTGTATGAATGAAAGAATTTTACGTCGTATTTCCTTATTGGTTTATTTTCAGGAATATCTGACATATATAAAACTTTCCTTGTAATAAATGAAAACAAATCTTTTTAAAAATTGTAAAATTTAGCATTATTTTAAAGTAAGTTTCAAATTTTTCAAATGCACCTGATATTATAGAGAAGATGCATTGTCTGTATTTTTTAATTTTAATTCTGGAAAATACGATATAAATTCTATCATTATATTTAATATAAATGATTAAGATAACAGATAATATCGTCACGGATAGGAGATAAGGACTTTGATACTAAAACTTAAAACCTGCTTTGAACGTTTAGTGAATGTCTCGTCTGCTTCCACGATACAAGTCTAATCATATTTTCAGAACAATGCTTTCCCCATTTAAATCAGTTTCGCGATATGTCGCGTCTGGAATTTTAAATCATCAAAATTATCCGCGATGTTTCTCTGTGTGGCACACTAATTTTAAAGGTAAGCAAAGAAGAGTCACAATAGAATAAATTATATAATAAACTTTGGTCTTTACAAATATAAATGTGAGATATTACAATATGAATGACATTTGAATTATACTATACTAAAGGACATTGATATGAATTGATAAACAGTCTTCATATTTAAATAAATTTTTACTTATATTAGAAGTAAGATTTGAGATAGTAACATAGTTCGAGCTATAAGCAATTGCAAATAAAGAATTTACTTATTTTGCAGAAATTCGAATAGATGATGATATTATTCCTTTGATCATCTAATAAATCATTATTGTTTGTGTTTTATGTTTTGTTACTTGTATGTTAATATAAATTATATTTTAATTAATTATATTTTAGTTTAAAAATATTTGAGACGCTGTGAAAGTCGATTTTAAACGATTAAAAATATATCGGCATCAGATATCTAAAGTCACCATGTAAGTTCATCGTGCGATTAATTGTTGCAGAACGACGTCAGCTTCGAAGATCAAACGTTCAAGGAAGGATGAATTTTTCTCACTCAGTCAAAGTCGCTCACATGATCAATTCCGGCGAATTTCCTATAATAGATAAAACTATTGGACAGTTATTAAGCGAGGCAGCTGCAGCATGGCCCGAACGAACTTCTATTGTTTCGATTCATCAAAATATTCGTTTGACGTTCAGCGAGCTTCTTCGGCGGGTCGACTCGTTGGCCGCAGGTTTCAAGAAGCTGGGCTTGAAGAAGGGCGATCGACTCGGCATTTGGGGTCCGAACGACCTGGAATGGATCATAGCTTCCCTAAGTGCGTCGAGAATAGGGTTAATTGTCGTTGCAATTAATCCCGCCTATCAGCAGAGTGAATTGGTGTATTGTTTGCAAAAAGTTGGCGTAAAAGGAATTGTCTCACCCGACAAATTCAAAGTACAGAATTATCCGCAGATGTTGCTCGCCGCCAAAGAAGTGTGTCCTACTTTGGAGCATATTATTATTTATTCGTCCGATCACGTGACGTAAGAAGACTTCAATTAACGTTATTATATTAGACTGTCACACTTATATATCTTCCATTGCAATCGGCGAGATATTTTAAAATTAACGTTCTTTCTCTTACCTTTATGTGACTATTTTTTTATAATAAGTAATTTATGACACTCTCGTAAGAAGCAATCTTTAAAAACAGCAATATTTTTCGTTTATTATTAGTTCGTATTTTTCAAAATCGCTAAGTAGTAAATGTCGAATGCATTTAGGTGACGTGTGTTACCGTTTTCGGCGTGATTCCGACTTTACTTTCTTAAATGACTGTGGACTTGAGCGCGAATTCACGATCTTTCGTGAGCTTTTAGCATGTTCACACATCAGAACCATCGCTTCATTGATCTGTGAGGTATCGCGTGAGTCCTTGCACTTTGACTGACGGGAATCTTTTGCTCGACTTTGAGAAATGGAACTTAAGAACATGGTTATTGTATTGAAACATATCGTGCATTTTTATAAAATGATAGTTTCATATATAACGCATCATACAATGTCCATTTTAAAAATTCTATTCATAATTATAAAGCAAACAAATTAAGGAATTAAATTTACGTTAAAAACATTAACGTAAAATTTAAAATTGTTATTTAATTTATATAATTAAATAATAATTAAAAATAATATTTTATATATGTATTTCTTAATACGTACGTAAGAGAATTCTTAATACATACGAGAAGAGAAAATGTTCCACGTGAATAACATCTTGTTGCAGCAAGTAGTTATCAAAATGTAATAATGCCTTTGATTATATTCGCTGATAAATGACTAAGGTAGTATAAGTATTCTATTTCATGACATGAGAATAACGTATTGATCTGAGGTCGAAAAGAAGGCAAAGATTGAACGACTTGAAACGACTAAGAAGAGTGACGGTGTTGAAACGGAGTTTCGATGCCGAAGAAGGTGTTCACCAGCAATTTCACTGAGTATCGACTTCGTCGAGACTATTTTTTGTTTTTTTTTTATCACTTTCCTCGTACGTATTCCGTTTATTTTGCATTTCGTAGATACGGAATCTTGCACGTCGCGTGTTTCCTTTTAGCGCCGCAGTCCTCGAACTTTTACCGATTAACGGATTTGATTAATAATCGCGGGGAAGAATCATGACGCAATTAGGTTAATAGCTTTACCGAAGTCTATCCATTCGCGTTCGCAAACACCGTGTCATTGAGAGAACGTGAGCGATATTAGCACGTTTAATTTATAGCGGTACGCATCGTTTCGCCGACGTCGAAGCTTCGGCAACGAAAGCGGAAATGGAGGAGATCGCCGCCGAGCAAGACGAGATATCATGCCACGACGGATGTAACATACAATTCACATCTGGCTCCACCGGGAGGTCCAAAGCTACGCTAATCTCACACAGGAGTCTCGTAAATAATAGCAAAGAGGTGAGCCACACTAACAAAAGATTAGCTGATTGCGCTATAATTTTGCTATATAATGTTTTAATTAAATTAATAATTAAATTAATAATTAATAAATTATATAATAATAAATAATTATATTATATTAATAAATTAATAATTAAATTGATTAATTAAATTATTAAGTAATTAGCCTTGAAATATATTATTCTTAACTCTTAAGTGAGACATAACAATTTAAAACATTTTCTTTGATCAAACATCTCTTTGATTCAACTTAGATGTTGAATTTGTTCCGTTTGCCGTCTTACTTATTTTAAAAGATAATTGTTTTATTTCTGCGATCGCAGGCCGCGCGAAGAGCGAAGATAACTATTGAGAATAAAATATGTTTAAACATGCCGCTCTTCCACGCGTTTGGTTTGACAATGGGTAAATTGCTTATCCTTCATACGGGAAGCACTCTCGTTATGGAAGAACGTTCCTTCGATCCAGTGAGGACCTTGGAGGCGATAGCGCAAGAAAAATGTGCCGTAACATATGGAACGCCAACTATGTGGGTAAGCAAGAACGAAACAGACGCATGCCAGATCGTTTCGAAAAATTGCAAATAATCCGCTCGATGTAGTTGTACGTGGCATACTTCACGATAAGATGCAGTTAGAGAGATTGTACAATTAATTCATTTATTTGAATATGACGTTAAGATAAACACACTCGCTGGCGATGTGTTATTGGCTAATTGCTAATAGCAGCGAAAGTAGCTGGGAGCCGTAGAAGTACGTGATAAGTAATCGCTGGTCATGCTTGCTGGACGGAATTTTAAATCAATAAAACTTGTATGATTCATGAATAAAGCCTGCTGAATTAAACTTCGTTATTATCAAACTTGCAAAGCGTTACGATTTTTTTTTTGGACAATTTATCTTCAGCATACTCATATTTTATTGATAAAATTACTTTCAACTTTTAATTTTCATGATATTAATTTCCATAATATTCACTATAAAATTCAAATTATTATAAATTCTATTTGTAATGTATTCAAAAGCGTAATTGAAATAATCATTTATCTCTATAAAGATAATAATCATTTATCTCTGTTTACTTCATGAATTTCAGTATAATTTAGTAATTTATTGTAAAATTAACGAGAATAATTCTTCTTATATAAAATAAATAAAGAGAGTATACAATTTTGATTAATTATTTGCATAGGTTTTTGAAAAAAGTAATTTTAAATGTTATAATAATGTATATAATAATGTCTTGATTAATTAAAAATGCTTTATCGATTTAATATTTCTATTTTAATGTCAGCAGCATATCAATGCGCTTTGTGATTATTGTATCTCAGTACTAAAATTTACTCAAGATACCAAAATTTAGAATGACTAACCATTGGTAACATATGTCAGATAACATCATAATTGATCAATATTTCAAGATAAAATCATTACGTGTAACATAGAGATTATTGTAATTAATCAGTTTAGTCAGTCTCTTGAAACAACAAGCAATCGCAAACAAACTGATATGCTTTTGCATTAAAACCTAATAGCATCAAACGCAATTAATTGTTATATAAAATTGCACTCATGTTTGTATAAGTATTTTTTAGGCAAATAGACAATAACAATTTCTATATCTAAAATCATACCATCTACATTCCGTTAAAATCATTTTTCTCTACCAAATATGGAGAAATTGAAACTATATTTTTCACTCGATTGCGATTTACGTTATAAGCTCTATACAACAGCAACTTTTAAAAGATTTGTTTAATTATAAGTCATAATCTTCTTTAGAAATTTATAGAAAATTGTAGAAATTTATCGAATCATAATATTATATAACTACATAATATTATATAATATTATATAATATTATATAACTATAATATTCGAATTGAGTTGAATCTCATTTATGTGCAATTCCATTAGGTGAACTTAATCGAAGCACAGCAACGGTTGCAGCTACCAACGGACAGTCTTCAGGTAGGAATTACCGGTGGTGCACCCGCGTCTTCTGAACTCTTCAAGCGAATACGAGGCTTGCTCGGCTTCAACGACATGATGGTAAATGGCTCTTCAGCATCCACTTACTTATCGCGCGATGATCGGACATCATTGTGAATTTTGAAAGACAATTTGAATATTTAAATTATATACATTTCCATCTCTAATAAGACAAATTTTTGATTACAGAGTATATATGGTCTCACAGAAACGACAGCCATAGTATTTCAATCGATACGTGGAGAGGACAGACATCTTGCGGAGAGCACCGTGGGTCATTTGGCGAATCATGCTGAAGCGATGGTATATATTAGTTCTTTATCCCAATGACAGCTTAAACACAACAATAACAATAGATTTGACTTTCAAAGTTTTGTTGTTTGCACGAACTTGACGTATATCTTTGTCGAATAGATCGTTGGTCAAGACGGTTTGCCTGTTCCGTTTGGAAAACCTGGCGAACTTTGGGTTCGCACTTACAGCAATATGTTATGTTACTGGGGCGACGAAGAAAACACGAAGAAGACGCTGACGGAGGACAACTGGTTGAAAACTGGTGATCAGTTTGTCCTGCAAGAAAACGGATATGCTACTATAGTCGGAAGACTTAAAGACATGCTTATTCGCGGAGGAGAAAATATCTTCCCCAAGGCAATTATCATTAACGTTATATAACTTGTATTACTTGCTAATTGATTAACGTATTTTATTTTTCGAAAAAAGATTAATTTTGCAAGAATTAAGGAAAACTAAATAACGTGTTTTAAAAGTTTTTCTCAAATATGGCAATAATCTTGAGTTTTATTTTACTGCAACAATGGATTAATATATGAAAAAATTTTTTTGGAGACTGAATTATTCATTTTCATTGCAGGAAATTGAGGACTTCCTGATGACCCATCCCAAAATAATGCAGGCGCAAGTTATAGGAGCATATGATGAATTATATGGAGAAGAAGTTTGTGCGTGTATTCAACTTCGTGACGGTGAAACGATGACGAAGAACGAATTAACGAACTATTGTAGAGGCAAAATAGCGCACTTCAAAATACCGCGTTATATAGAATTTATAGACGAATATCCAAAGACCACGACAGGAAAAGTTCAGAAATTCCGTCTAAAGGAACAATTGGAGGCCAGTGGTGTAATACCGGCAAGACCAAGTCATTCATGACAACCGCAAACAATAATTTTGAAGTAATAATTTTGAGGAAAATTTAGAAAAGAATTAAAAAATTTTAATATTAATCATCGCAAGACTTCAAATAAGAATTGAAGTAATTTATAAATTTAGGAACTAATTACGTATTAATTGTACAATAAATGTTATGAAATATATTGCTAACATTGCAGTAATTATTTTTTAAATATTTCCTTTAAACCTTTCATCTCAATTTATTGTTTTTTGCAGAAAGTTATTATTAATTAAAAACTGATGTAAAAAGTGATTAATTACAATGACTGCTATTGATGCATCGGTAAAACAGTATCGTGACGTATTAGTAGTCGTGTAATCGGTACGTTATCGGATTTTTAAAACCGAGAAAAATCCGTTTTTCTTCTTTTTATATGATTGTGGCAGACTCCAATCGGAGGATTTTCGGGCTATGGCCGAATATCTGGCGTCAATTTTCGGGACCGAGAAGGACAAGTAAGCGCGAAATCACGTTTTTGTGCCATCGCTCCATGCGGAATAGGTTATGATCATAGCATAAATTTCGTCATTTATTTTTCTTTCAGAGTCAATTGCTCATTTTATTTCAAGATAGGCGCCTGTCGACACGGAGACAGATGTTCGCGAATTCACAACAAACCAACTTTCAGTCAAGTAAGATAAAATACTAAGGTATCTTTTTCCTAACAACACGTGCAGATTCTGAGAATGTCGGAAGATAATAGTATAGTCATAAAAGTATAGATTTCCTTCATATTAAAAATGCATACTATGTTGCACAAAAAAAATGTATTGAACATGTCCAACTTTTTCTTTTCCTTTATTGAGACTATTTAGTAAAACCAAATAATAGTAATATTAATATTATAATTTCAACAGTGCAGGGTTGAGAAAATTACTTTTGAAAGATAATTCGTTACCATTATTCATTATCCACTGAATATAATATCTCATTACTGTTATTGTTTTTCGAGAAGCGATAAATCATTACAATCTTATTTTTTTAAATTTTCAAATTTTGAAAATTTTTATTTAGAATTTGCTTATTCCGTTCCATATATGTAGCCTAATAACTATACATGTACGAAACAACAAAAAAAAATAATAATTATATTTATTGTCATTACACAAAAAATGTAATTGTGTTACTGTTACCGTTACTAGCAAAAAATTGACATCAATTTCATAGAAAAAAAGTAATAGGTGTTACAAGTGACACATCCTAACTTTGAGTTTAACATGATATATGTTGTATATAACAGTTATTGCATTATTAAGATGAAAATTATAATATTATAATATTAATTATGATATTAATATATTACTAAATTATAATATTAATATATTACTATTAGTTGATATGTTTATTGTATTTTCATATACATGTAGTGAGTATACATGCCTAAGAAATATATATCCATTTATATATGAATATTCCATTGAATATTGGTGTCAACGGATGTCATATTCTTCTGATGACAGAAAACTTAAATGTATGAATATTTTCAGTATAGCTTTTACATACAAACATAATGCATGAATATAAGAATATAAGAGTTATCTTGAATATAAGAAATCTTGAATATAAGAAATTTTCTTTTACAATGTCCTCCGAACAGTCTCAATTACATGTGCTATTAGGGATTCATGTGCAATCCACAAACTCATTTATGAATAGTACAAAAATTGCAAAAGTTTCTTTTGCGCAGATAGATATGTTGTCTTGACGTGATGTTGTCTATGTGATAATTTTTTAACATTGTTTTGAAATATAAATTTTATAGGACTTGTGCACTAAGATTATACCAGTATTTTTGTTTAGAATATTGAGTTTCAACGTGTATTAACTACGATTTAAATTGTTCGAAAAGATTAATGAAATTAATTTTATCGCGACATATCGTTTATGCCAACCTGTATTCTTCAGACGTGTCTACTGCAGAATCTTTATGTAAACCCTCAGAATTCTGCGAAAAGCGCAGATGGATCTCACTGTAAGTACACTCTATTGATGCCGTAATAAGCATGCAAGATGAGTATTACGCTGTTTGGAACGTTTATATATTTTGCGACAGTGGTTGCAAACGTGTCCGACGAAGAGATGCAAGAGCATTATGACAATTTTTTCGAGGACGTGTTCATCGAGTGCGAGGACAAGTACGGTGAGATCGAAGAGATGAATGTATGCGACAATCTTGGCGACCACTTGGTCGGGAACGTTTATATCAAGTTCCGCAGAGAGGAAGACGCGGAGAGGGCGGTTAACGACTTGAACAACCGTTGGTTCGGCGGCAGGCCGGTTTACGCCGAGCTCTCGCCCGTCACCGATTTCCGTGAGGCCTGCTGTCGCCAGTATGAAATGGGGTAATTTACAATTGAGTTAACGCGATTATACAGAGCATGATAAACAGACGTGAAATTGTACACGCGAATTATGTGCGTTTAGCGAGTGCACGCGCTCCGGATTTTGCAACTTCATGCACTTGAAGCCCATTTCTCGGGATCTTCGCCGATATTTGTACAGCCGGAAGAAGAGCAAGGGTCGATCGAGGTCGCGATCGAGATCGCGAGGTCGCGATCGCAGGAGAAAATCCCGCTCCCGAGATAGAGGATCCAGGTCTAAGGATCGCCGCAAGGGAAGAGACGAAAAGAGCAGAGACGGTCGATCTGGTCGTTATTAATAGAATTTTATTCGTACACGCGGTAAATTTAGTAAATCTAATTGTTAATGTATTTTAGTTTCGTTTGATTTACCGAAAAAATTTCATATTATTTGAATAAATCATTATTTGCAATATATTATTTCTTTATCTAAAATTAATAAATTAAAAAATTTATAAATTGAAAGTGCGTGTAAAGGATTTTCTATTCAATTCATAATTTTTTTTTTTTCATATTACATCTGCATCGTTCAATATATCGAATTGCAGTGATATTGCGACTCAAGTTCTGCAATAACAGTACAGACGGCAGCACTGATTCATTGATGTCTAAAAATACAATATTATATTTTTACAGGATATATTTTTTGGGTGTGCATAATATTTAAGATAGATAATATATATATCTCAATTTTTAATTTTTGCATTAAAATGTTGAAAAAGATATTTCGTCAGGAGTTTTGATTTTCCTTTTCTATTTCCTTTTCTATTTCCTATCTATTAAGAAATATAGATTAAAGATATAGTAAAATCTAAATATATATTATAATTACGTGATTAATTAAATTATTTGTATAATTTCAATATTTTCTTTTTTTAATCGATAATAATATGATTTTTAAAATTTTAATGCAATTATTAATAAAATAATCATTTATTCGATAATCACTTTATAGTATTTTGGAGTCAACACTTTCATTTCCAAAATAAAAATAGAAATTTATATAAAATATGTATTAGAATCCTCCTTTTTTATCGAATTTTATCGTTTCCAATATCCCTTGATAGAAACTTGCACATTTGCTGTAAGATGTCACTTGTAGTACTTCGTATCATTAAGTTTTATTTTTAGTTGCTATTGCCATTACATAAAAAATTATTTTAGACTATTATTCAACAAACAGCACTCATTTATAAACGTAAATTTGTGAAAAATAATTTAAATATAAATTTTAAAACTATATAAATATATAAAACTGTTTCCCTCATATAAAAGAAGATATTGATTTTAAAAAAATATTATAAAATGTTATATCGTGTTATATTCAGTTGCAATTTTCGTAAACATTTTATACATTGGAATAATAAATAATATATAAAATTCTGAGAGGGAAAGAGAGAAGTAATTTCTAATTTCTAACCGCAAAGATTTCCCTCTAATAACAGTAGCTTGTAATCTTTACACGGTGGCTATTCGCGAGCCAAGTCTTTATTCTCTTTTGTTCTTATTTTAATCGGTATCCGCGCATATTCCTTGTCTCGTGCCGACCAACTGTTGCTCAACAAGTTGTTGTTGAAAGATGACGCGAAGGTGCGGCGGGCGTGCGCGCAGCCAAGCAAGAATAGCAAGAAAAAAATTAGAAGGGAGCGCAAAAAGAAGAGAGAGAGAGAGAGAGAGAGAGAGAGAGAGAGAAGAAAGAAGTAGGAGGGAGGGAGAGAGAGAGAGAGAGAGAGAGAGAGAGAGAGAGAGAGAGAGAGAGAGAGAGAGAGAGAGAGAGAGAGAATGAGAGCACCAAGGGTTTTCAAGGAGAATCACGTCTCTCCTCGAAATCGGTTCATCCGGACCGGGCACGTGTTCCGGCTGGGCCTAATTGGTGAGGCTCTCGGGGCCTCTCGCTTCACTTCGAGGCTTCGAACCGACGTGCATTACCGTAGCAGATGGTGGTCGTGATTGCAGCTGCCTCCGACGAACACCTGCCTTCTCCTTCGGACGGCAATCGGAATAGCGATGCTCGTTCTCTCTTTCCCGGCACGCACTTACTACACCGGCGTTTATCTCCGGTTTCGAGATTTATCTCCGTCGTCTCACCGCTCTGTCGATTTTTTTCAGAAAGGAGAGTAATAATAATAATCGTTGCTGAGAGATCGGCAGAATCGCAACGCGATGCGATCGCGGCTCATTTCATTAAGGCTCGTGCATTTGCGCTGAGAAAAGCGAGGTGGTCCACAATATTATTAACATACTGCCGTAATACCGGTACATAAAACATGCCCAGTTCCGTTAAACATGTACATAATTATTCGTTTGCAACCATACGTGGAATTCGATTATGGATGAGCTGTAAATGCATCGCGGTTATCCGTCATGGTTTAGCTATAATGTGTTACAGCGAAGCCAGTGTTTTTCAAATATTTCCATATATTTTTATAACGTCATACATTAAATAAAACGCTTTCGTAAATGTTATCGCGCTCCCAAGTTGATTTGAATGTGAATCCCTAAAAAAATATATGTATGCCGTATAACAAATTTTATTGTTAAAAATTCACGGTTGAATTTTCCTTGATCGCGGTTGCAAATTTATTAGAAAAGAATCGGTTTTCATTTAATAAAACAATTAACCGACAATGCCGTTCCTCGAAAATCATACAATAGCAAAATTTGCATTCTAAAACTCGAAGCTTTATAATTGAAGAGATTTTCTAAACGTTAAATATATTTACAAATCTGGAAAGAGATGAAGATTTTTACAGATTAACATCAAGATTTTTAACAGATGCTCATTAATGGTCACTTAGTATTCGATCTTTAAATGATTCCTAAATAGACTTTCAAAATAGTCGTCAGACGATCAATAACATTGTGCAATATTAAATATTATGCAACAGTATTGACCGTCTCATGGTCGTTTTAATTAATTTGGCTAGAATAATTCTGGTATTGATTGTCAATATATTCTTTCAACTTTTTTTATGCACGATAAATTCCACTAAAAGTTTATTCATTTACGCTCATTTCACTTGGAATTTCACTAAAGTAAAAGTGCGGGGGAAAATCCTCGAGGATGTTGGTGCACGGAATTTCAAATTGAAAGCTGAGCTGGGATTGAGCATGATAGGTCACACGCGGGCCATTTGAGTACCATAATTAATCCTAGCAAATTGCCAGAACATCCTGTGGTCACAAAGGAGGAGACTATCGCCAGATGATGGAGGCCAAGAGACGGAAGCTTACAGAGAAAAAAAAGAGAGAGAAAAGGAGAGAGAAGGATTGACTTCCGAAATATGCGCGTAGAAAATCACACATCCGCCGAAGTCTGACGAGAACAATGGACAGTTCTGACCGCGATTTCCCTCGTCGGGGAAACGAGCTAACGAGCTGTCAAACGTCACCGAGCCGGAAGGGCTCGGGCGCTGTTGAATCTCGGTGTGACGCGGCGATAGACGCATCTTCGATCGGCTTCCCCGCGAGCCGAGCCTTCCGGAGCAGAACGTGTCCCCGTCTTCCGCTAACTGCGCGACGGAGATTGGCAATTACGCCGGCCGAGATCGATTTGATATTGAAAACTGGAAACGTTTCAAATGGCAATCGGAGAGTCTCGAGTGTTAGGGCGGAGCTCGCCTCAGCGACGAGCGATACGTACACCCCCGCTGGAATCCTCCTTATTATTTTACAAACGTCGCCGTACTGGTTAGCGTAACGTCAACGCGACGGCCATATTAATTAATGGGTCATATTATCGTTCGGTTAATTACTCCGCTTCTGTCCGCCGGTTTTAACGAGAGGATAAATCGACTTAATGGCGGTGGTACGCGAAAATTGCAATCGAACGTCAAGCGCGTTGCCTTCGCGACGTAAATGATTTATGAAAGCGTGGGGAAACGAGGGTCGTTGAAGAGAGCCATTCCATAAAATACGGATAACTGCGTGTCGAACAACGGTGAGAGAGAGAGACGAGAGGAGGAGGGAGCGAAGGGGGCGCCTTTCAATCCCTCTATATGAGATTCGTTCGATCGCGGGGAAAAAAAATGTTTCGCGAGGCCATTTAATCGCGAGATACGAGTGCCGCCTGCGAAAAGCCCGAATCGATGGTCAGCTCTGAAAAAAGACGGGCAGGCCGTCTCTGAAATTCTGAAATTCGATCACCAGAGAAGATCATCGCGCCCGGTGATCTTGCAGGTGATCCCGAAGACGAGGACGAAGACGGGAACCACGAAGGCTGAACATCCGGCGGCTGCCGGACATCTCGGCGGAAGAAGAAAAAAAACGGAAGGGAAAATAACCGGTGGAAATTTGTAGTACGCGCAACGTGACGACCTAATTGGTATAATAATAAAAATGGCGCGTTTCGACGTTGCCGTGCCGGTGAATTCTCGTTTATATGCAAATGCGTCCCGGCCGCGGCGCTTCAACGACTATAGCCGAACCTCCGCAAAAAGCCGATCCGCTTCTTCCGTTGGCGTTAAAATGATCTAAATGATCTAATCGAGCGCCAACTGAAAATCTATGCCCGTCGCCAATAGTCGCATCCCACCGTCGCCTCGGCCGCGTAATTATTTCAAAGGCCGTTCGAGATACTTTATGCGCGGTCGTTCAAAATGAAGCATCTCTCTCTTTCTCCCAACTCGCGGCGATGCTCCCCAGCCCGCGTATAAACGGAATGAAATTATGTATCGCGGAATTTTAACAACGAATATTTTATTACGCGATATTATACCGCAATAAAATCACATCAATCTTGTATACATAATCTGTACGATGATTTATTATTGGCGGCACTGCCGAGCAGTGACACGAAAAATGTAAAATTAAAATGTTCATCATAATACGAAGAAATATAATGTATTAGCTATTTAGTTAACTCAAATCGTTAATATTTTTATACGATAAAGTGTTTATTCCGCGAAATATCTTTTAGACTCCGCGCTGCGTTCGCTCCCTATGTTCATATTATTTTTTCTATTTAAAATCACTTGAATATCGGGCATATTCCTCTCGAGATGTATCGCGCAGACGGAACGATATAGCGCCATTCGAGAGATTTATGAGGGACGTCTCTTGTGCCCTTTCCTGCCTTAGAAAAGAAAAACCGGTTCATCAGAATTCATTGCAATCGGTATAATCGAAATCTGTTTTTGTTCTTCCTCGATTGTGCCGCGATAATGGACAATGACATTGTTAGGGGATGCAAGAAAGGCAGGAAGAATGAGGAGAAAAATGGAAGAAGCCGCGCCGAGACGAGGAGGGAAACTGTCGTCGTCGTCGTCGCAAGATGAAATGACTACCGAGAAGGAATGGGAGAATAACGGGGAGTTTAATATGATGCCGCGGGGTTCGTTTAATCATTTAATCGAGTCCCGGGCATACCTCGGTTCTCCACCGTCGTTTGCACCTCGCCTCATCTCGATGAATACG